TTAGACTCCCTGCACTCCGGGGAGTTTCAACAGGGACCTGACCCAGGTGATAGAGAGCCAGGAGAGGGAGTTGGAGAATCGACGCTCTTCCATGATGACCATGGAGATTCTTTTAACGGAGCTCAACGCTGAGAGGGCGGCCAAGAATGAGGAGATCCAAAGGCTTAAGGTATATGTTTGAGCAAAAGTTTAATTAATCTATAGCTATTCATGAATGGACTGAAATATTGATTGAGCATGGTTACTGCAGATTCTACTTGTCTTAATGGGATAGTTCAGGTTTTTTTTAAGTGTAGTTGTATGTGGTACTTATCCATAGTCAGTGTATTGCCTACAGTAGATGGCAGTTGACATGCCCCCAGTTTGGAGAAGCAGACAGGAATACTAACATGGAAGCTAAACAAGCTATGGATAAGTACCTCATACAACCCCTCTTCACTATCCCTTTAAGGTCTGTGAAGTCCATCAGTACTTATTGTGTGATTCCACTGTCCTCAGACGCAGCTGACTGAGAAAGAGATGGTCCGAATTGAGATCCAGGCTTTACTTGACCAGTTTTACACCAAGCATAGCCAGCAGGATCCAAATGGAAACAATAATAGGTTGGCATTATTCATCCAGTCATACAGCCAGAAACTGCTCTTAAGTACTTCACATAATCATTAATAATGTTATCTTGTCATTTTTCAGTGAGAAGTTGAAGGAAAGCATCACACAAACTGTACTTAAAGACCTCCAGGAGGAGAGGGCAGAGAAGGTTTGTATTTGTTTATGGGCTGGTTTTATTTTTTTTTTCTCTTTACTGAATGATCAGTTTATCATTTCTTCATCTCAACAGAACAAAGTAATGGAGAAGCTGTGTGATACTAAGAAACAGTAAGTGGTCTAGTAAAGTAAATCAATCGATGTTTTGTCATTGCATGTTTTTCTTATCCATTATTAATGCTTGACGTTTGACAAGCTTTTTTTTTTTTTTTTTTCTTTTGATGTGGATCAGACTGCAGGCGCAGGAGTCTATGTTGGCCCAGTCTCAAACCTGCGTTCAGGAGCTGACCACTGAGCTGAGGAACCGCTGTCTGCAGCTGAGAGACCTGAGTGAGAGGATGCAGGATGAGGAGAAACTTCTCCAGGTCAGAGTCGGAGTCAGTGACTGTATCTCTCACTAAAGAAGGCGTTTTGGGATGATGTAGCTTTCAAGAATGATAACATGGACTCCTGGCAATGTAGTCAGTAGCTGAAATTTGACATAGGCACATTCCTCAGAGAAAAATAAGCAGCCACCACAACTGCTATGTTCATGTGCAAATTTCCACTATGCTGCAAATGCCAGCAGCTTGACAGGGGGCTGACCGTTAAAAATGATCAGCTCTGGGCATCAGTCCTAGCCTGATAACAACAACAAGGTGTCACAATATAATAAGCATGACACTATAGTCGGCTATACCGCAGCATTTTTTTATTGGAGGGTGACATTCAAATTCAAAATGATTGGGCTTGAGGTGACCTGCACAAGAGCCGTCAAAAAACTGCCAAACTCAACACAGGTAAAAGATTAGGGTCGCGACTTATTGATGTACTGATTAAATGTGTAGTGCACAAAATGCAGGGTTCCCACAGTTGAAATTCTTTAAGTTATGTTTTAGTTTTGTTTTTCAGGCCTGGAAGTGGTTTGGAATTAGAATATTTTGGAAAATTAATATGATTATAATGAATATAATTTGAATATACGTTGTTTTGACCATTGTTTAAACTATGTTCATAAGAATCCCAAAATATGTCCAATGTTATACAAAATACATTCCTAGTTAGTCTTCCTAATTTAAAATCTAATCCTCCCTGCCGCGCTGTCACATCAGGAGAGAAACAGGAAAATGCAGAAAGCTGTTGTGTAGCAAGTTTGCCAAGGCTTTCACAGTGAGATTTGAGGCTCATAAAAAAAGTAAATACTCACTGTCTTACCAATCTGCCAATCACTAAATGATTGTACTATTGATAGATTATTACTTGAGTGAGATGCTGCAGCAGTACGGTCATATAGTGCAGCAGCATCACACTGTCTCCAACTAAATCTCAGCCTGTAGATCAAACAGCTGGCTATTAACAGGTTGGTTATTCACAGACAGCACATAGCCTGATGCTACCTGGTGATTCAATCAAATATACATGTTCAGTTAAATCACTAGGTATCGTGATGCAGACATCTGTAAATGAAATATCTACCCACTATGCTGGGTCACTGATCCACTTGGATGGAGTAAGCCTGAAGGGACATGACAGTGATCAACCTTATTTTATTAAGCTATTGCAAATGCTCAGGTTCAGGTGAGACACAAAACATTACTTGTCCATGTCCATTTGTTTGACAAGAAATAATGCGTACAAACTTGACAAAATTATGATCCAAACGAACGTCAAATTCCATCGACATCCATGGGATCTTTGATTTTCTATTGCCCCCAAAATGGGTGTGGCCTTTACATTTTGCAAAGTGCCTGTAAGTGCTGGTCTGGTCAGTTGGAAAATGCAGCTAGTTGGTTACGGGAATGTCTAACATCCAAGTATAGTTAGCTAGAGAAAGCAGTTTGCTTATCTGCCAATGCCTGGGAAATGTGTGTTCATCAATGTACGGCTGCATCGCCAAGTAGGTCTACCCATGTTAAACTACGGTACTTGGTGTAAAATAATATATAAAGCTTTGAAAATTCATTAGCAAAAATGTGTGGGAATCCTGAGAATATCAGAAACAAGTGAAAAACGCCTGTTATAATTTCCTCAAACGTTACCAAACTTGTTGCCATATTTTCTTTTTCACAGGAAAACGAGGTTCTCCGTAAGCAGAATGTTAAGCTGTCGGAGGAGAATGGAAAACTGGTGGGGCATAAGAACCACAAACAGAGGATTGAGTATCTGGTGAAGCTAAAAAAGGACAACACCAAACTTCAAGAGGTAACAAACATTTCTCCTGCCATCAAAGGTTGTTTCTCTTTGGTCATGTGAATACTGTAAACACACCAGTTCAACTTCGTGCTTTTCTTTTGTTTTAAAGGAAAATGAAAAGCTCAGAACGGAGATCATCTTGATGCGAGACAGCGTTGGATGTCCGCCAATGGAGATGACGTAAACCCCTGGTTTTTAAGTATTTTAATGGAGGTGCATCTTTCCCAGTCATAAGGTGTGAAGGGCATTAAGGGAATGTGCAGTGATGATGTTGTTCATTACAGGTGTTCATTTTTTTTTACCTCTTACAAAGTTTTGCCTTGAGGCATACTGTACATACATACTGTATCTTATGTTGATCTGCCATTACAGCAGCATGGACAGACCCGCTGTGACAAAACCTCCTTTAGTCCAGCTCCATCTTGTCTCGGCAGTGTTGGGTTGCTTTGGATGGGCATCAATACAACTAATCACATTGTTCTCAGGCTACATTGAAATTACAACAATGCTGAATATCATAATGTGAAAACGGAACATTTTAGGTGCTTTTATCTCAGGCTGTAATTGTTTACTGACCATCTGAGTTTTATCCATGTATTTTCCCATCATACTGAGGTGTGTAGCCACTGAGTTTTAGCATAATGAACCTTTTTTATTTGTTTTTAAATACATAATTAAAAAAAACAAACTCCAAAGCTTAAACGTCTTGCTTCGTATTTTGTGGCTTTGTTTTCTGAATAGCTCAAGTAATGGGACTGTAAAAAATAAACTCCATGTCATCACAAAAACGTGAGATATGTGACAAAAGCTTTTGATGAATTTTCAGTCATCCAGGTCTTTGAATATCTAATTGTGCCAATCAAAATAAAAGTTTGACTCACTAATATTAGATGTTACATACACACATACTTCTGCTTTACTTGAGTATTGCAGTTACACCCTGAGACCCAGAATAGATAAGGTTTTGATATTTTACATTTTTTTATATTGTTAATTTGAGATAATTTAAATAATTGGGATATAAGAAACGTATCAAGGATTTTAATTCTCAAAAATGCCATTTATTTATGTTTAATAACATGTCCTCTTGTGGATTGTAGGCCAGTCTTTGACAAAAGAAAGTGCAGTATATTAACACAAGAACACAGGAAGAACAAATGAGATATTAAAAATTGTATCACTTAATCTCCCTTTCTGACATAAAACGTGTCTGCTGCAATTACCCTCTTTTTTAATTAGGTACATTCTGATGGTCCCACGCCCATTTGTGCCACATCAGTGGAAAGCCCAGTATGTGTTTCACATGGTACACCAGGACTCAGACTGCATTTATGGTGTTTGAAATAAGATAAGATAAAATAAGATACACCTTTATTGATGCCACAATTGAGGATTTCCAGTGTTACAGCAGTCAAGGGGCAAGGGTCACATTAAAGATTTCAATATTTAAAAACTTAAAAAAACTAGGCATGCAAAAAATACAAGAAACAGCAATAAATAATAATAATAATAATATGACTAGTGAATAAAAAGTGAGCAATGGATTAAAGTACTATACAGTACAAGTAAATTACTTGTCATATTTACATGTAGAGAGAAATTGCTATATTGCTGTGGAAAAAGTAATGGTTAGATTTATACAGCTAATCTAACCCAAAGAAAACTTCCTACATGAAACTGTCTTATGTACTAGACCAAATGTGTAATACTTACCTTGATGTTTACCTACTATGCTTATATAAATATGGAAAAAAAGAGGGTTTGTCTTAAAATTGGTCCAACATGTAATTGGAAATTGTCGTTGAATTTATTTCTCTGACACTCCCTGAAATTTGACACTGATGGGTGTTGTTTTGCATTGTGAGTACATTTACTTTTGAAACGTTTGCCATTACTTATATGTCATAACTTGTTTTTTGTTTTTACAGGTAAATTTTTATTGTATGGTGCCGCTGCTTTTATTATTATAATCAAATATTTTACAAATATTTTACCACCATGAAAGCAGAATAAATATTCAGTGTGACTAATGTTGGTCCAGCCGCCAGGGGGCGATGTAGAGCTTCTTCCTCACTTGGCCTCACGCGCCCCAACCTCGTGCTCACCATTGTTGCTGGAGGGAGAGAGTCGACAGAATAATGTGGTAATTACCATCACCTGCAACATGGAGACATCGTGTACGGCAGAGCAAATTTCGGATTGGTTTACCTCTGGGAGGGCCTTTGCTAACGTTAAACTCGCGGAGGAGGTGGTTGAAAAGAAGAACGATGAAGCATCGTCGAAAGAAACGAGGTGAGAGACGTTAATGGTAGCGTTAGCATTAGCTAGCTAACCTCGTATTAGCTAGCGTCCTTGAACCCCACCTGACCAGTTAATGGTGGTTAAGGGATACTGAAAAATATTCCAGGCTACACGGTTGCCACAAAACCAGACCGGTCAAACTTTTAAAAATACCTCAGTGCACAGAAATATTTGAAAATAGCAGCCCTTGGGTTCAGAGTTTTGGCTAACATTAATATTTGGTATTAGCCAGCATTAGCTGCATCTGTATGAACTTGGGGGAGACGGTCATTGATCTGTTAGCAAACTGAGGTAGTTACTCCTTTAGCATTTTTTATGGATGCTATTAGCTTTTTATTATCAGACAAAAATCTTTATAATGGCTAATGTGTCACAAATAGAGGTAACACTAGTCCCAGGGACTATTTTTAGGCGTCATGTCAGGTTGCAACAATGAGACTTTTCATCCTTTGCAGCTTGCAAAGAAGAGTCTGTCATCATTTTGGAGCCTAACTAAGAAATCAAATTCAAATTCCTCAGTCAAAGTCAGTATTGCAAATCCTGGTGACATATGGTCTAAACGTAATGGTAGTTGGTGAACAAAGATTTAACTTAGAATTTATTGTGGATGTCTTTTAACCATTAACGATTTTTTAAACCTCAGTGCTCACTGTATTAACCACGAGACTTGACGTTTCCAAAATAATGGGTCTGCTAAGGACATTACAGTAATGCTTAACAACACACTTAGTCGTGAAACTCAGTTGTGAAAAATTGTCAGCATGACCAAAGCTATCTTTTCAGTGATTGTCACCAATATGAGCACACAATGAACTGTTTCATGGCTGTATCCTTGCCTCTCTACACTGCAAGGGATTTAGAAAGTACTCAAATTCAAGTTCAGTGTAAAAACTCCAAGGTCAGTTCACACCCCCTACTTAGGTTTTTTGCAATTTCAAAATATACAGTTTCCTCAAATACCCAAAATGCCCAAATTCCAAGAAAATTAAATGCTTAAGATATGATCTCAGTGTTAAACCCAGGTATCACAGGATGATTAACAAATTAGGAGACAAAAAAATTACACAATTAGGTTTTTTCCCCCAGAGTTTTCTATGAGCTTTGTTTTTTTATTGTGAAATATTTGACAGTTTTAGCTCTTTTGGGCTCTAAACCCACCATGACACAATTGGAGAGGGGAGCATCACTCTTTGGTTTAACAGCTCGAAAGTTATACACATTTTCAGCCTGTGCCAAGCAGCCGCAAGTAGATGTTGCTTCAAATACTCACAACCCTCAAAGGCTGTGACCCATTTGTCTAGGTCATGCATGTCTTCATACCCTGTGCCCTTATGGCATCACTTCTGCCACCTGACAATATACATTTGAAATACATGCCCAACTGTACGAAGTCTAATGCCCACAATACATCGGACACAGGCGTGGTGCGACATGTTAGCTGCATCATTCCTGCAGCAGACCACAACCATCACAATTCACTGATGCTGCTAAACTGAATACAGAAGCTGCGCTTGCCTGTACGGGTATTGCACTGCTCAACTCCATTTTTGTGCAGCTGGAATATTTTTTTGTCTAGATGTGGTTCTACAGCCTTCTGACAGGTAAAAGCTAACTGTGTAAAAAAAAAAGAGAGAGAGGAAAAAAAAAGAGCATAAGTCTGTTTAAAAATGGCAAAAATGAATACCTCATTGTAGCAGAGGCAGTGGGAAGCAGCTGAGCAGCCTTGTGTGTTTTTACATTTGACATTAAAATACATGAGTCAAATCAATGCATCCTGTTGTTAAAATGATGATCCAGTTAATTAATTCAGTACCAGTTAATATAGTCTATACACTTCCAAACCCTCCATAACCAACTGCATTATTGCTTGGCAAAACTCAATACATAAAGAGTAAAGCTGGCAGCAACCACACACTGCAGAGACGGAGTCTGTGTAGCAGGTAAGAAACCGTGGTCCACTCTTCCTACGTGACACACCGCGTCCATACCCCATGTATTTCAGCTGTAACTTGAGGTTTTTAATCAGGACTACAGAAAATCAGTCTATTAAGTAGAGTTTAAAAAGAGCAGGTGACAAACTAGTTATTGTAATTAAACAGTTCAGTACATTGTCCAACTATCCTAATGTCATCTTCACATTTTTGGTTACAAGCTACTATATATTTACAACTAATACAACTAGTCAGGTTTGTGCGTCTTGTCTCCATGAAGTGGAGACTGTTTATAACTGTTTATCCGCAGCAGTATGTCTTCTCAAAGTGTAGTGCTGTATGTCCCTGTAGGCCTGAGAGGAACTGGATAGTAATATGGAAGGTCCCAGTCCCTAGTGGACCCAGCGAATGAATTGGAGTGCCGCATGGCCCGATCCACATATCCAGAGATTGTTGGGATCTCCTCCCTTGGGTGGTCTCCACAGTTGGGGACAGTGGGTGTGACAAAGCCTTGCTTCATTATGTAGCGGCTGGTCCAAGCCTCCATTGGTCGGATCTGTGCTGGCTGCACTGAGAGGTAGTCGTCTTCCTCATACTCCTTTTGGCTCAAGAAGTCTCTCAGCACCTGCTTGAAGACAGACGCCAGCTCCCAGGGCCTTATGTTGTTTGTGGCAAGCACCTCACGAAACCTGTGGAGAGATGCAACCGATAGTTAATTATACACTTGTTGAAGTAGCAAGGATTTACATCAGCACCGTGTCAGTGTCCCACATTTTGTATTGACATCTTATAGTATTTTATAATTCAACCATGAGTCTCTTGTAGATTCAGGAATGACACATCTAGGATGACAGCACCGATTTTTAAAATGGTGCAAACATTGTAACACATTTTTGCTCAATATGTTATTCTTTGGTAACATGGTTATGTAAGCACACAGTAGTGACCCAGTAGTGAGTTAAATGGGAAATGAATAAGTAGGTCACAGTGCTCAACCATGTAGAACAACGTTTTTTTTTATATCATTATGGCTAACAAGGAGATGATGAGTGCAAACCCCGGCAGTCTGGCTTCACTCAGCCTTATAGGGCATCCTTCACCTTCACATGTTCACACCCTACATTGCCTGCCTCTGTGACAGTAACACATAATGGCTTTCTTGGCAGCTTGCCCTGCCTCCCATTCCCTTTGGGTCTTCTCTGCTTTGCCTGCTGTCAGGCCTTGTGTTGATACAGCAGCAGCTAGCCACTGTTGACAGCATACTAATGTGAGGATGGAGCATGGCATGGCCACTACTAAACACCTGGAGAGCACCGTGGCTGCGTGGATGGGTGGGATCTGGGCACACAGAAACTCCAGCTGGTGTAGCTCTGATGTTGGGATGAGGGTCCGTAACCTGGGGTACTTCTGAAACCAATGGAGACCCGGGGGGCTGTGGGTCAGCCTGTGCTCCTGTTCTAGCTCCCTCGCCAGCCGCTCACGTTCCTCGACATGCCACAGCAGTTCTCTGATTAACATGCGACTGGGTATGACCCCCTAGGACTTGAGAGGTGGCGCTTCATCCTGAGTCTGCACTCTTGTTTCATGGGACCATTTCATCCAGCTGAAGAGGGGCATGGCAGTCACAGCAGACAGTCCTGGAAAACTGAAGAAACAAGAATTATTTGTCATTCAGGACCATGAAGACATGACTTCCCCACAATGCTGTTTTAATTTGAATATGCTGGAATATCTGTTGCTTTAAAGGAAGTGCACAATCTCTGAGTTACGCTTACAATTGACAAAACAATGTTAGACCATGTGACGAACTGCACAACAACAGATACAACAAAAACAGCTAACATAGGAGAATGAAATGTAAAATGAGGCCTAATGATGGAAAACTGGAAAATCAAATTTGACTATAAAACAAGTCAAAATAAATAGTTTCTTGCTGGTGATGAGGAGGAAAAAAGAAATAAATGTATCCAACTCTATTTCTGCCAAAATCTTGCACTTGTACCAAAAATGGGGTCACACTTTCAGCTTCAAAGCTGACAATGACAAATGTGTGAAAATATTGCCACCTCAATTCTCTGAGCGAGGACATGTTAATTCTCATTTTATCCATAACCTGTTAATGTAGCCCTATAATAATTAAAATTATGAGGTTGACAGTGAAAGATGATCCCCCTGTAACCAAGCTGACCTCTGGTCCCTGCCTGATGGGTGCACTGATTGCCTTCAGTTCAAGTCAAACCGGGTGAAGGACAATACCCCAGGTGTGTGTATTTGGCTTTTTTCCCCAGGGTGATGGATCCAACACAGCTTCCACCTGGGATTTAGATGGATTACATGTCCTGCAGGGTCAGAGGTCAGCCTCACCATATACAAACTGTAAGGCTGCAAAACAGAGATGTTCAGGTATCTGATTTGATTCTAGTACTTAAACGATAGTCAGTCTTTCATCATGTGCAGAAGGAACTTATGTCGGTAACATCTGGCTGAAAATTGAAAGGAAAGACTTGTACTTACAGATGAAAACTGCACCGCTGATATTTTTTGAGATATACAGAAAGTGGGCAAAGATGAGCTTTTCACAAGGTACAGCCTCCAGCTCCTCGTCCCCATGGGTCATTCAATGTAAACTTCATTCCTTCACTTGCTTTCGACTACGTCCCTTAGTGTCAAACACGATCAAAGGTGCCCAGGTATCGGCAGCAATCCTCCAGTGTCTTGGTTGTTGGAAGCGTTTTTTCCTCTTTGTGTTGTGGTTATTGTCTTGTCCCTATTGTCCCGTCCGCTGTTCCTGTCATGCAGACCTTTTTTCAGGAGAGTTAGTCACACACTGCTAACTGACTAAGAGCTGTCACCTCTCCTCTCCTTTCACCCCACTCTCCTCTGTGGAGTGTGCAGCTTTGTTGTAAGGTCAGCTGCTTTGTAGCTTGCACGAAACGTGTGCATCGGAGAGAAAGGAAGAGGGCGAGAGTGCGTGTGTGCACAAGCCGTGGGTGTGTTGTATTTGAGCTCCTCTTAGTACTGTCTGGGTTTGTGCCTGCTGTTGCGATAAAATCCTCCCCCCGCTAAGAGAGATCGAGAGGCAGAGACAACTGGGAATGCTCTCCCAGCTACAGCGCCGTGGGCCTGGCTGAGCTGACCAGTGGGAAAGATGAGAGGAGGCAGGGAATCAAATGAGCAAAGTTTCACATTGTACCATGTGATAAAGTGGGCAGAGCTGCTGGTATTTTCACCCACTGTGAACTTGCATTGGAGGTTTACTTTTAATGATGAGTTCAGTGTTACTCAACTTAAGATTAGTGATTTTATATCAGCCTGTACTTAAAGCCCGAAAACTTGGGCAAAAAGAAAAAAGGAATTATTGCAATTCATTGGTTAATAGAGCTGCTTAAAATTGCTTTTATTTTGTTATAGCCCATCAGAGGTTCCTGATGAGAACAGCCTGAAAAATGCCGGCACTGAAGAGGGGCGGTCACAAAAACCACAGCATGCCAAGGGTGAGTATTAAACTTTTTGTTAGCTTTTTCGTATTCTGCACCCTACTCACTTACATTGTTAGATATACAGAAATTTGCCCTTAACGGTGTAACCCTGTTTCCTGTGCATTTGATTCTAAATCGTTAGGTGCTGCTCCTCCTCCACTCGCCAGCTACAAGTACCCCAGCTTGCCCATAACCAAAAACAGACAGGAGGTAAAATGTACCATGCATACACCACAAACCCCCAACCACACAGCCGGAGGGTCTGAAAATACACTCATTCCCCTACTCTGTCTTTTAATCACATTAAGAAATGACCATTGCATCCTCAGGACATTGGTGCACTTAAGCTTTTACTGTTTGCTTGAGATGAACTCAGTGTCATTGTATGTTGCAGAACTAACAGCTAACTTGATATTCACTGGTCTAAATTTTTCTGTTGTCTAATAAAGAGTAGTTTGTGCACATTTTAGGAGCTCATGCTGTCATTTAAGCTGCACTTTCTTAATGCAGATTATAAAGTGTGGACTTGCGGTTACAAATCAGCTTAGCACATCCATCTGCTCTACAATTTCATAACTTATTTTTAAATATATTTGATTTCAGTGATATGGTACAAATAGCCAAATGGTGTTTCTATTTTTGTTAACTGTGTCTTTTTTGACTGTGCACATGTGTCTGCTTGTGTTTGTGTTTTATGTGCACGTGCCTGCTTCCAGCTGATTTCCCTCATAGAAAACAACTCTGTAGTGATCATTCGAGGAGCCACGGGCAGTGGAAAGACCACCCAGCTGCCACAGTACATTCTGGACCACTACAATGAGAAAGAAGCCTCATGCAACATTGTGGTCACCCAGCCACGCAAAATAGGGGCCACCAGTATTGCCCGATGGGTTGCCGCACAGCGGAAGTGTACCCTGGGTAGTCTGGTGGGATATCAGGTTAGTATAACATATAGACATTATCTAACATTTTCTCTCTTAATAAAAAAGCGGACAAAAAAAAGAAAAGAGTAACCCTTGCACCTCTCTTTAAACTTAAAAAGAGTGTTTGTATGCATGTGTTAACAAGCTCTTGTGTTTGCATCGTTGCTAGGATGTCTGGCCGTGTTGCACAAAGCTCTGAAACAGCATGGCTAATAATAACTTTTATCTCCTCCGCTTGGTGTAGACCTCTGGAGCTAAGGATGATTTCACTGACAGTGGGAGCAATGATAAACAGTTAGTGTTAGTGAGAGATATTATGCTCAAGTTATGCAGCACACCCTGAGCATGATATTCTTTATTTGTCTACCTCAAAGGTGCTTTTTGATTTGTGTCATAAGCCCTTATGAAATATCACTAATTGCTGTAAAAGAGAGCTCTCTCTTTGTTCCCCTTCCTATTTTCTGTCTGTGAAAGACGTGCAGTCAGTGAATGGAAAGTTCTTTTGTGTTCAGAGTTGAGTCGGCGAACCAAAAAGTATTTCCCCGAGGTTGGACACAGGGTAGCAATGTATTTTATTACAGGTCACTGGTGTTTTCTCCAAGACCAAGCAGAAATAGTCATGCTGGCATGGTAGATATTCATTTTTAAGACACTGGAAAAAGTTGAGGCCTAAAGCGACTGTAGAGGAAGCAAACTGTGGCTCCTCCTGTTACTTTTCTGGAACAGTTGAATATAACCTTATTCATAAAACTGGCAGGAAGGAATGACTAGAAAATATATAACAAAAGATGTTAGAGTTGTATCATGCTCTGCAGCTGAATGTGCAAGAAACAACAAGAAATAACATGTTCTCATCAAATGCATTTTAGTTCCTGTCAAGCAGATGCCTATGGTCTGTAAATGACTTCTCCAAAAAAGAAATCATGGTCATTTTCAGTGTCAAAATAAAGCTACATGTGGTGTTGTCAGCATTTATGAATACAACTGTGCATGTTTGTGTTTCAGGTTGGACTGGAGAGGATGGCTACTGAGCACACCCGACTCATCTACATGACTACAGGAGTGCTGCTGCAAAAACTGGTTTCAGCAAAGTGTCTCACAGAGTACTCCCACATTTTCGTAGATGAGGTGCATAAACATGAGGCAGATCATTTTCTCTGCCAGCTGGTGCCTAAAATAATTTTAGTTTCGTCTTTGGTTGTGTTTGTTGTAATTTCTGGTCAACGGTAAAAAGCAGTTCCCTCATGTTCACTGCGTTTGATTCAAGGTTATTTTATTTAGTTGTTTGTCTTTGCCCCAGGTTCATGAGCGCACTGAGGAGATGGACTTTCTCCTGCTGGTTTTGAGAAAACTTCTGCATTCCAACTCAAGTTATGTCAAGGTAATCGTGAAGTAAAATCCCTGCTCTGTCCTCCTTTTGCATCAGTTGAACTCTCAATCACAGGAGCTGTTTTTTTTTCTTAGATCATCCTCATGTCAGCCACCATCGACTGCCAACAGTTTGCTGAGTACTTCAGCACCCCAGTTTGTGGCAAAATAAATCCGGCCTACGTGTTTGAAGTGGAGGGGGCACCCTATGCCATTAAGGAGTTTTATCTGGATGACCTCTACAAACTGTTTCCACACAGGGTAAGAAGATGGTAAATGTTTGCTGATGCTACAACTACTCTTTGTATTGAAGCTACATAGTTAATGTGTGAATTTTGCATCTGTCTTTATCAGGTTGAGTCGAGTCACCTGGATGACCCTTACATTTCAGTGGAGATGTACAATCTTGCCATCAGTCTCATCCAGAGCTTTGATGAAATGGAGGGCAACAATTCCAAGTGAGGCCTTGGTGTTTTAGCCCACTTGACTGCTTTTCCAAATGGGCAGATACACATAGTAAAGATCATGTATGTTTGTGTTTGAGCAGCATAACAAAGACAGAAGGTGGCATGAGTTCATCAGAGCGGGGCAGTGTGCTGGTTTTCCTGCCTGGTTTATATGAGATAAACTACATGCAGGAGGCCTTGGCCAAGCTCTTCCACAAAAGGTGAGCCTCTGAGTTTATTTCTTTGTTGACTTTTTCTCTGTAGTGGAAGGGAAGCTGTTGGCTTCCCAATAAGACAAATCACTTTGTCTATCAGTAATAATGCTCAGAATCGGCATTTGTAGAATCCATACTGTTTGTCAACTTGTAATGGAATGCTTACCTTTATGATGTGCTTCTGTTGTTTAGACTACAGGTTTATCCTCTCCACTCCACTGTGACTTTGGAGGAGCAGAATGGCGTGTTTCTGTGCCCTGTCCCTGGATACAGGAAGGTAAAAAACATTTATTTTATTCTGTGTCACGTGTTGTCAGTTCCTGCTGTGCTGATGATTTCCTCATCTTAACAGGTCATCCTTTCCACCAACATCGCTGAGAGTTCGGTGACCGTTCCAGACGTCAAATATGGTGAGGTGTTGAAACTTCTCTTTGAATGTCAATGAAATTAGTAATTAGGAACTTCCCTATTATCTATAACCTAAATGTGTGTTTTGTAATAAGTATTATATAATCTGAAGTGGTATTGTTTCTTTCCTCTTTTTTTTTTTTTGACATCACAGTGATTGATTTTTGCCTGGCCCGCCGCATGGTCTGTGATCCAGATACCAACTATCAGTCTCTTCGTCTCACCTGGGCATCCAAAACCAACTGCAACCAGCGCAGAGGTACAAAACTTAGAACACAGACGTTTATCTCTGAAGTGGAATTTTCTGTTCCCTTCTGTCCTTTCAGACTTACTTCCTCTCTCTGTCAGGTAGGGCAGGTCGAGTGTCTAAGGGCTACTGTTACCGACTTGTTACCAAAGAGTTCTGGAGGAATGAAATCCCAGACTACATGATCCCTGAGATGCTGGTAAGAGAGTGCACATGATGAGGGACTTTTCTTTGTTCATTTTTTCCCTTGCTTTGACCTTAATTAGGCAATCAATGTATGCCATCGTGTTTGCCTTCCTCTTAGCTTGCCCCGCTGGCCACCATCATGCTGAAGGTGAAGCTGCTGGACATGGGAGATCCTCGCTCTGTCCTTTCCACAGCCCTCTCACCCCCAAACCTCAGTGACATAGTGAGGACAGTGCTTCAACTCAAAGAGGTAAATAAGTGCAGATTGATGATTCCTCTCTGAGAGAGCCATTAATGTCTAGTCAAGTAGGAGAATGTAGCTGTAGTGATGTATTTGGGCAGGCAGCTGACCACCCAGCTCTGTCACACACTGTTGGACCAGGAGCTCTCTGACAGGAGCTTAACGTCAGCCAGTGTTAGTGTTGTCAAGTCTGTTAGGTGAGTGTAATGAAGGGCAGTGTTGTGTCATTATATGGAGTATGGTGTGAGTAAGGGAAACTGAAAGAAGTGTATAAAACCAGGGAATTTGAATACAGGGATAAAACAGACAACAACAACATGAGCAGAAAATCAATAACAGACAAGTTGAGAAAAGTTGTTATAATAATAACAAAAGTTGCCACTTTTAAGAGGTCAGTTGAGATGTCCTTCAAATGAATCTAGCGTGACTTTCTCAGACAAGGAGTTTGAGGGCCGAGGAGCCTCATAAGCAAAAACCTATCCAGCTTTAGTCCCAGGGATTTAAAAACTGCTGGACAATCTCTGTTTGGGGATCTCAAGTCAGTCTCTGGCTCACAGGCAACCAGCAATTCAGCAATGTACAACCAGGGCTCCCGGGGATCCTTAAAGTTTTAAAAGGCATCAAAAGTCTTAAATCTTAAGTTGCCTTAAGCTGTAGGAACCCTGTATATAACTCATGAAGTGTGATAAATATAATAAGGAAGCGTCAATGATTTTTTTTACCTAACAGGTAAATAGTGAAGGGGAAAAAGTACCAGCCATTTTCATGTCTAAATACTTTAAAGTCAAACTGTTATTTTGAGGAAAGGTTTTATGAGTTGATTGGAGGTATAAATAAAGCCTGTTGTCTTGAAACTAAATGCATATTTCTAGGGATGCACCGAATATTCGGTAACCGAATATATTCGGCCGAATATTGCAAAAAAACACACATTCGGTATTCGGTGGAATAAGTTAAAAGCAAGGCCGAATAATAGTGGCGTTTTGATAACGCAGTCAAACGGCGTGCCGTGACGGGCGGAATAAAATGTCGGTAGTGTAGCGATCCGTCTGTCACGGCACTCGCATTTGCGACTAAAAATAGTTTTGAGCGAGCAAAATAGGCTTAAATCATTCAGCAGGCTATGCAAGCAGCCTACAGATTTCAACCAGCAGCAGAAACGAAAGGTGAATCCCACCGATTGTGGGTTGAATGGGGGTCACATACACAGACAGTAACGTTAATGTATTCCTGTTAAATACGGCGGCCATCAGCTTACCGGGCGACGGAGAAGTCGGTTCCAATAATATCCTCTTCTTGGTGTCATGACTGCCCAGAAGTACCTGAACAGCTGAGACAGCCGAACACAGGTATGTGATGTGTCAGAGAAGAAACGAGCCTTTCACATTTCTCTCTTTCTGGCAGTAACGGCCCACAAACCTCACCGCACTTTAGGGACTGTTCTTTACTTATGAAGGGACTTGTCAGGGGAGGAGGGTGGCTGGTTGATTCTTATTTTATTTATTTATTTTATTTTGATCCCCCCTATGTTAATTACTTATTGATTCTGTTTTTGAAGTATGAATAAGTCAGTAAGTAATTTATTCCATTGAAATATCATTGATGTATTATAGAAAAGTGATTTATCTTTTCATAAATGACAAAAGGTACATCTGCCTCATTTTCGCTGTGGTATCGTGATACTACTCAGAACCATGGTATTTTCATTGGTATCGCACAGTGGTTCTTTTTTTTTTTTTTTGTTTTTGTGACAACACTAATCTGGAGGGGGTTCATCTGCAAAAACTAATGAAAAACTAAACAACGATATTCGGTATTCGGTACTCGGTATTCGGCCAAGCGTTTAATAATATTCAGCTTCGGCTTCGGCCACAAATTTTCATTTCGGTGCATCCCTACATATTTCTTTCTGTAGATGGGCGCGCTATCTGCGAAAAGTGATGGCAGGGGTCACAATGAGGATGGGGAGCTAACGTTCCTGGGCCGAGTGCTGGCCCACTTGCCCGTGGACCTGTACCTGGGGAAGATGATTGTCCTGGGTCATGTCTTTGGCTGCCTGGATGAGTGCCTCATCACAGGTCAGTCTGCCATCATGTTACTGGATTGGACCTAAGTTACTGCAGATGTCTTTGTGCACATAATGATATAACATAAATGATGCAAGCGACAATAATAGTTTCTGTTATCCTCAGCTGCTGCGCACTCTCTGAAGAGTTTCTTTGCCATACCATCGATGCAGCAGCTTGCTGGCCACAGGTGAGTCACATTCAGCAGCCACACTGATTCAGACTGCCAGGCTGTCGCTGAGGATCATTTTTGTTTCCCAAGATATTTGGGACATATTGTCATGTAACCGACTCCATTGGGTCCAATTTCTAACTATTGACTCACTTTTACAGCTTTAGCTGTCACAGTGATTTGTGGTTAGTGATACGTGGACTGATTCTACTCACAGTTTTGGATTCTTCAAGTTGATAATTGTGAATGTACTTTCAAACCTTCGAGTTTTGAATAAAAAGGAGTGCAATTTAAGGAGCAGGTCGTTCTAGTTTAAGTGGTAAGCTAACCTCTCTACTATTCATGGAATATAGCCTTAAGTTTTTTTGTCAGGTACTCTAGGCAACAGGGGTGAGTATTACAGCGGACATCCTACTTTGAGACAAAGGTTCATTCGGTGAATGAGCGTAGCTGCCAGACTGTCTGAACTCAAGTCTTATTCATTCGCCTCTTGTTGCGAGTGGGCAAGCGGACAAAATCTGGGATTTATGAGCAGTCTGACATTTGTTAGGCTGACACGGTACATACTGGACACTAAAAGGAGCCATTAAAAAAGATTTTTTCATTCATTTTCGCCTGTCACTATTCGTGGCTAATGAGATGCCTCACAGTAGAAAATAGATGCTGACAGTCCAAACAAAAGCCATCTCTTTGGACATGCGAATCACTAAAAAGTTTAGGAAAAAGCTATCCATGCACTGGTATGTTTTTCTCGTGGTGCCCATGTAAATGCAGACAAGCCCCAAGTTGCAAACCTGTAACATGTTTTCAACAGACTACTTGCAGGCCAGAAACAGATATTGGTTCTGTGTATTGTATGTTTTTTTGTGTGTTTGCACTGAATAGTATTTATTATTCCAGGAGCATGTTGGCTTTTGCCCATGGCACATCAAGTGACTCCATTGCTTTTGTCAATGCCTTCAAGGTAACGTGTCTGATGGCAAGTCAGCAGCAAGTTGTGGTGTTCAGTGGATTTACATATTTGCCTGATGGCTGTTGTTTTTCCCCTATCGTCTATTACTGTCAGGCATGGCACTCATCCAAAAAGAAAGGACAGCTGAGACACCCAAAGGTGAACAAGACAACAACCAAACATGAATGAGCTCACTGAAACAACACACATGTATAAAAAATGCAGATTTTCTTTTATACATGTTGAAAATCAGAATTGTCTGCTGCTGCTTTTGACACTCTGCAGTTATTCATCTTGAATTATTTTCAAGATTGGTATTGAAGTATACATAATTGCTCTGTCCTAGTTGTAATGAATTAACACAGCACTGAACAAATGACATTTAGCACATTATAGCTTTCAGAGCACTTGCCAAGGGGAAATAGATTTTGCGAGCACCACAAGCCAAGTGCCATCTTGTTTCATTATGCTGGAGAGAAGGCAGACATTTCTATGGCTGGTATCTCCAGTACTTGGCAACTCGCACCAAAACAATCTAGATTGATAAATTGCTCTACATGTAACAGGAAAATATGTATTTTTGAGTTTGGGGTGAACTGCCCCTTTAAAATGTAAACTATTAACTATAGCTTTTTATTTGGACATTAAGAATCAGTGCAGCACCATTTTTTCTTGAGGAGTTAATCTTTGCCTTTGCTACTTTCTCCTCTTAGGACGAGTTGGACTGGGGAAAAGGGAACTTCATTCAGATCAAGAGGATCAGGGAGGTACAGAGATGACGCACAGAGCTGTGTCCCATGAATTCATCAAACCAGATTACAGGAAATCTTTGTCATTACTTTTCTAACAGTGAACAACAGGCATTAATCCCGCAGTTGGTAGTTTTGTATTACCAAGAATGAAACTTGCTTCTCTTGAGTGACTGATAGTCTTGGGTTTTCATAAGCTTTACTGCAGTTGGTACAGTCAGACTGTTAACATGTTATTTTTTGATGCTGTCAGTTTTCAGTTGCAAAGGACAAGGTAGGTACTATTGACAAAGTTTAAACTTGGACAGATTTTAGCTAGTTAAAGGAGACCTATTTTGCTTTTCCTTACTTACTGTTATAATGTTACAATGCTTGATGTTCATATTACACGTGGCCAGACTTTCAAATAATGAGGTAAATGTGTGTAAAATCCCAGTGAGTAAAAACCTCAGGCTTCAGTCGGTTCTGAACACTGTTTCTAACGTTTTGTTCTACTTTGGAGATGAGCTGACATTAGCTGGTGACAGATTTCTTTATGGCCATCGGCTCTAGGCACATGACTGTAGGTGTTTTCATTACGTACACTGCTACAGGGAAATCTGTAATCTTGGTAGCCGATGTTAATTTCCCCCCATTTGTGGATCAGGATCCTGCTGGAACATGTTTGGTTGTAGAGATTTTGGTTTAGAACCTTCTATTAGTGATTTTTTTTTTTTTTTTTTTTGGTAGAAAGTGCAACTGTACAGTCCTTTCCCCAGCTGCAATGACGATTCAGTTACACCAAAATGTGCGGATGACCTGTAAACACCAACCAGTCAGAGCACTGGGCCTTTTCAGGAGGGAGGCTTAAAGAGACAGGCGCTAAAATGCAGTGTTTCAAGCTGATTGTGAATACTGGTGTTCCAGCACAGACAGTATGAGGAACAAAAGCATGTCAGCATGTTTTAGTAGAAACCCAAAATACAAGTGTGAACCTGAAAATGAGCACAATAGGTCCCCTTTAATGATCATAGCTGAAGGAACTGTAGGGGTGATGTGGTTCGGGGAGAGTAAGTGTGTGGTGAGCAAACAGAGTCTCGGTCAGAAGACATCAATGGCAGGGAGTGGAATGATGGAATTAGGCAAGGGAGCAGGCAGGTTTCAATGCAACACCAGTAGCTTTTATTTATCTTTGATTTGATCTTTCTGTCGTTGTCACATCTTATTTTCGTGTGCTGCATCAGAAAAAGGATAAACAAAAAGACAATATAATTACAAACAAACAACGGAGTGGTCAATTAAACAATAAACAACAAATAAGTATGGGTGAATATACAATCCACAACTAAACAGTAAAATGGTCAAGCGACAAACAATCTTACATGGCTCCTGGCACATGTCTGGGAACAAAGAGAGTAGGGTAGCAGAGCACATGTCAGCAAAGCCACCACAAAAGGCATACAAAGGAAACAATCAAAATGATGAATTGACCACTCACGTTAACTTGAAGACACACACAAATCAGGATACATGTGCTGGCAGGGAGTGCAAAGGATGAACTGAGGGGTGAACAAACAATTTATAGTCTCCGCCCCTTACCCAGCAGGTAAGGTGGGCGTGGTCAGGTGGCAGGTATCTGCTGGGTTCACTTTGGCAGATTCACCATATTTATTTGTATTTATTTAGAAAGAAAAATGAACCGAGAAAGCTCCGGGTCCAGGGAGTCTTTTCAATAGCCTTTGGTGCACAGTTTACTGTTAATCAAGTCAACTTCCAGTCTAATGAGCTAACATGAGCAGCAACTCACTGTTAAGGTTGCAGAGCTGTATGAGGACCTGAAGAAGCGTGTGTCCCAGTTCAACATGCATGTGCCAGAGAGCCCTCAATCCACGGATTACACCAGCACACACAGGCAGAAGTTCATTCTTCAGGTGAGAGTCAGTGTTGCACATTGAATGAGTGAAGCTATAGCGTATGCTTTAGATCAGTCATCACCATGAAAAAATATTCAGCTGCTGAATATACACACCTAAATCTCAGTTTGTTCTGGGCTGCATCTCTCTTTGTCATAGGTGGCCATTGCTGGAGCCCTCTACCCCAACTACTTTGTCCAGGGAGAAATAGATGAAGACTTGGCCTCCAAAGATTTGAGTGGCCTCAACCCCAAAACAACAGTTATGGTATGACCTAGTGTTGAGAACCAAGAATAGATTAATTTATTATATCATTCTGACTGGCACTTCCTCTGCTGTGTAACGACTGGGCTTGGTACGGCTATAGTCTTTGAGCCTAATTATGTAGGAGATAAGGATCTTGTAAAATAACATCAGACCGCATTTTGTTTTCAGGTGAGGAACCTCCCTCCGTATGCTTTCCTGTACTACAAGCAGCTGCAGTCTCTGTTCCGCCTGTGTGGACAGGTGAAAACCATTTCCTTCGAGAGCTCCAGGTGCTGAACACCACTGTAGCAAATCTTTTATCTGCTCTGACCTTTTTATTTGAATGCTAAATATGTATTTTTTTGCTACTAGGGGTCTCCCAATCAAAACAATAAGAAAAGACAGACTTTGAAGATGTTGTGATGTAGCACGTGATCATAGCAGTTGTTGTCTTCATTGTTAAATGATTAGCATTGCTGAGTAAAATCTATCTGATGTGACTTTGGCAGAAATCTTGTTCACAGATAGGAAAATGTGTGTCTTTGTTTAGTCATGTTAATTCATGCTGAGTCATTTCATTCTAATGAAATATCTGCAAGTAACGTTGGCTAACATAACATCAGCTTGCTAACACCAAGTCACTGTAGCTACTGTAGATAACATTACGAGGTGAATTCAGTAGTGGGACGGTCCGGCGCAGTTATCTGTGGTCAAAACAAGAAGTGAAAATAATTTGATGAGTGAGTTGAACCTTTTGGCATTGTTATAACTACCCGTACACATGGCACATGGCTGGCATAAGACATTTGTCATAAATGCACAAGCTGGATCAATATTGAAATATATCAACATATTCGGACTGTACTGCGTTACTGTGTTGCAAAATGGCAACTTCAGTGGCTAAAGGTGATATGATGCCATCGACAGGTGAAGGAATGAAACTGCCATTACCTTAGATAAAATTACAGATTACAACATTTTGAATAATACAAATACACACCTCAACAAAATATACAACATAGGTCTAATGGTTTTTAGACCTTTTAATGCAGAAATGTCACATATAACACCTTTAAAGAACTCTGAAATGTGCAAGTTATAATTTCCTGACTGCATGTATGTGTGTGTTTTCTCAGAGCTTACTTGGAGTTCTACAAGACATCCCAAGATTCGGGGGTGCTGCCTGAGGTGTCCCTTGCCCTCCTCCTGGATCAGCAGAGTCTCCCCATGGAGCTATCAGTCTTCCCCTCTGAACAAATAGAAATGGTTGCTGGGAGTAGAAACATCACTCACATGAAACATTCACGGTATGACTCTGTTCACACAATTTGGAAACCTGTCTCTATGTGAGTGAGTGAAATCAGCAGCTGCGTGAATTAAAGGGAAAAAAAACATTTGCTCATTTCATAAGAAAGGTTGAAAGGGTTTGACTGTGTTGGTCTTTTAGTGGGTTGACAAGTCCCAATCTTGACAGTCTTTTTGGAAAATGGAACCCCCTGCACCGCAGGCTGCATTGGTCAGTGCCCCTGCACTGACCCTTAATATAATCTGACATTCCCGCACTCTGTATGACTCTCTGCAGCTATCACTTGGACTCAGAGAGGGGAGGTTTAAGGCCGAGGCAGCACCAGCTTCTTCGTAGTGGCCTCTGGGAAATGGGAGATGGGGTCACTTTGCACCTCATTCAGCACAGCTCTATTTTTCCTTTAACAATAATTCTACTCACCTAAAACACCTAAACTGACAAATGTTGGATAACTTCAAATAGATTTTATGTTGTGATTCTTATTTGACATCATTTTTGACACTCCACACCTCCAGAGGAACTAGATTATAGCTCACATGTTGACAAGCATCCACCCCGTTGAAGTACTCCTGTTAGCAAGACACAGGGGCTCTTTTGCAATAGTTGGAAAATAATCGCATTGGTTGCTGTGATCAATAGTAAACTTTGAATAAACTTCAACATTTGCAAGTTAATTTTAGGTTTATGCTACCTTATGAACAGTTGTCAAGCAGCTCTGTTCACTATTAACCATAATAATGTGATGATATGACAGGCAACCTCAAAACAACAATAAATACTATTAATATTAAGATAATATTAAAGTCCAGTTCTGTATGTGCTGCAGAGTAAACGTAGACTTCCAGAGCCAGTCTGTCTGCCCGGTGGGAGTGGTGAGCAGCACCATTGACCCAGACAAGCTACCCCCCAACCGCTTCTTTGTGGTCAACATCACGGAGGTCAGTTCTTTGTATTAACATGGTCACACAGAGTTCAGTTTCAAAATAGATGAGCAGTTGTTGAGTTTTTGACTTAATGTCTGAATCTTGAATGGATGTATCTTCTCTTCAGGTGGTGGAGGTGGGTCATTTCTGGGGCTTCCGGGCAGATGAAGCCAGCTTGGAGAAGCAGCGCCATCTGACAGCAGAGATAAACATTCGTACACTAAACCCTCCAACTGTGTCGCTCTACCCCAACCTGCTGTGTCTGGCTCCTTACTCTGAGGTCAATGACCAGAGCATGTACTACCGTGCCAAGATCCTGCAGATGCGTGGCAGTTCTGTGGAGGTGAATGTTGCTCACAGGCTATCGTTCTCTGGTCAGGATGTAATGCACCCATTCAGTTTTCTCATAACAAATGTCCGTCTCTCTCTTGTTTGATTTTTAATGTTATTTTCTAGCAGCTCTGTTTTATATGATCACAAAAAGCTGCTCAGAACTGGCTCGAGGAATGTGACTAAGAGCTTAAGGCATAGATTTGGCCTCCAGATTCCCCAGATCCCAATTTGGTCAAGCGTCTGTGGGACGTGCTGGTATCCCAGAGGTCCTGTGTCCTTTCCTTGACAAGCCAGAGCCAAGTCCAATCCAAGATGGAACCTCTGACTTGTGGAGGTATGGACACAGGATCTCAGGGGGTGTCCCCTTGTATCTGAAACCTGGGCGCTGGCAGAGGGTCCTTTTGAGTCCTGTGGGCTGCAAGGCGGGGTACTGGCATGTCCACGGATGCTCAGTCGGATCAGGATCTGGGGAATCTGGAGGCCACATTGATTGCTTGAGTTCTTTGTCACATTCCTTGGGCCGTTCCTGTGCAGTTTTTGCAGTATGGTGGTGGGGGGAGTGCCATTATCATGAGGGATGTCCTCAGTCTACAATGGTGTTTGGGTGTGTGGTGCGTGTCAAGTAGCATTCCCATGAATGGCAAGACTCAAGGTTTCCCCGCAGTGTATTGCGTGATCAATAATATTCACTTCACCCTTCACCTGTTTGTCGTTTTAATGTTGTGGGTGATTGGTGTGTATGTACATATAGTTTGTATTGTCAGAGTCAAAGTGTCGACCACTAACAGTGTTAACAAAGGAGTATGTGATGTGCTGTTACTTTGTGCACTAGAGCAAAGACTATGTTGTTGTCCCGCAGGTGTTTTTCTTGGACTTTGGCAACACAGCAGTTGTTTCCTGCAGCAGCCTCAGGGAGCTCCCTTCTGACCTCCTGTCTCACCCTTTCCAGGTACAGTAGCAATAAAATGAGTTAAAACAACGTATAACTTCTACTGTTCAAATGGTGACACAAAAACACTCTGCTCGTGATCTCAGGCTCAGGAGTTCCAAGTTGCTGGAATGCGTCCTTCAGCCCAGTCCATCATTTTGGGGAACCAGTGGAGCAGCCGAGCCCGCAACCGGTTCATCACACTGGTGAAGGGCCATTCACACATTGTGTCCCTGTACTCCATCCTCCATGGCGTCATGCGTGTGCAACTGCTCATCAGTGAAGAGACCAAAAACACCAGCGTGGTAGACATCTTGGTCGAAGAAGAACATGCTGTAAAGGCCGAAGAGAGCTTTGATTCCAAGGTGACACAACAGTTGAGCCCTAATGAAATGGGTTTGGCAGCGTGAAATACAGAAATAAATCAATCAGTCGTAACATGCCCTAATCAAAGCAATCCCTCACCTAAATATGTCCTTATAGTATCACTGACATGCTCCTGTCGGCTTGAAAGGCGCTCGATAAAAGTTGGTGGTTCTCTCTTCAGAGAGTGAGCTTTGGCTGTTTCTGCCAGTTAGAGTGGACTCCTTTTCATGATCAATAAACACCCAAACTCCCTAAACCAGACCTGCGGTATATTCCACTCAATCCCTGTCAGTGAAAATGCTTCGTATGTTTAACATATAGGCCTCTAGTTTCCCTGCGCGGCACAGGGTGGTGAACCCCGCGCAGAGCTAGTTTCGAGCAGCGCAACCCGAGGCGCACTCAGTTTGGTAGTTTGGCAGACCGAGGTGCGCTGAGATGGGTGTGGCGGCGCAGCAGGGGGAGGTGTCGACAGATCCAGCTTGGCACAGTGACAGTTTCGTGCCAAAAGGCTTTGTTGAAGGTGCGCTAAAAGCTCGCCAGCTGAAACCAGGTCTACTGTCAGCGCAGGCGGAGAGCAGACGGTTGTAGTGGAAGTTTAGCTGACCGGTGAACAGTGCGCACACGTCACCAAAACCGCACAGGCAGGTTTCCAGAATGTCAGGCACATTAACGATGCAATAAATAGCCACAAAATCCACTATTCAATGCAACTATCTGCAATCAGCACATAAATGTATCTCTATATCGACTGTCCCGTCACATCTGATGTCAGATCAAAGGGGATTGGCACAGTTTGGCACGCGTAATGAAAACCCAACCTGATTTGATTAACACAGCTGCAAACTAATGAGTTCACATCCCTCTCAGCCAACCACAAACAGCCACAGCATCAGATAGGGAGTATATATTCAGCATCTGTCATCTTAGAAAAGTCAAAAGAAAAGAAACAGTGAGACTGCAAGAGAGAAAGAGAGAGCGCACGTGCACGAGAGAAACGCAACATTGATTTACAATTGTGGTGACCTCCTCCCAAGCTACCTTTGCATCATCAGCCCGTGGAGGTCTGCTCGCAGTTCCATATATTCGGACACTGCGAGCTTGGACCTCCTGGACCAAAACATCAGCACAGGTGCGCTGCGCCTCCGCCTCGCCCGGTCTGCGAAACTAGAGGCCATAGATTTGCCGGCCTGTGGCAAATTATGTATTACGTTTGCTTATTGGGCCCATGCACATGCAGCATATTTTGAGACACGACATGTGTCCCGGCCCTAACACTACTCTGCTCATACAAAAGGGCTGCCCCCTTATAGTTGACCAGAAAGGTCAAAACCTATATGACTGGACCGTGTGGGGAATTAACTGTAAAGGACAGACACAGGAAGAGGCCTCGCTCAGCAGTCAGACAGGAGTCACGTTACAAACCAATCACAGGCGACAGATATATTTCCCTTCTTCGTAATAAATACAGATGATAGGCATACCCGCTTATAAACAGCAGCTAGAAGAAAATCTGCTCTGCATTCAGGATTTCAGGTAAATAGGCTATCGATGCTTGTTAAGGTTGCTTAGCAACCGCAGATGCAACCTGCCGCCGCGCTCTTGAAAGCTGGCACAGAAAAGGCACAAGAGTATTGCCAAGCACCCAACCTTGGATTTCCAGACGGTTAAAGACGCAGCATGTGTACTGTACGGCCCCTAATTTCCAGGGCTGGTACCTGTGGTTATTACACAGGCTAGTTAATAACATGTCGAGCAGGAAATCCAAAGTGTGGGATCATTTTGAGAAGGTGAAGGACGAACCCAAGGTGATATGTGAACTCATCTTCATTGGTCAACTACATACATGACGTATCATCTGAAACATGTAAGTAGCTACATGCCCATTAGCCACTTAACACAATCATTACTGCTTTGCCGACAGCGTCATTAACAGGTAGCAGGTCAGTGTGTGACGTGCACTTGTAGATAAAATATTAGTCTATATACAGACTCTACATTCAGTGAATGTAGAGTCTGTATATAGACTTAGGTGGTATCCAAATTTTGTTACTGTTAAACCTTCCCCACATTTTCCCGGGGTATACGGTATTACCGTGACTAATTAAAAATCACTTTAAAGGGCTCAGAGGGAGTCGTCAAAATGTCGGCTTGTGCCTATACCGTTCAGAAACATAATAACAAACATTACATAGGCCTAAGAATACTGAAAAAATAACAACAAAACATGTCATCAATACCATTCTGAAGTCATCAAGTACTAATCAAAAGTCATCAAGTACCATTCTGAAGTCATCAAGTACCATTCTGAAGTCATCAAGTACCATTCTGAAGTCATCAAGTACTAGAGTTGGGTGGTATCCAAACTTTGTTACAGTTAAACCTTCCCCACATTTTTCCGGGGTATATGGTATTACCGTGACTAATTAAAAATCACTTTAAAGGGCTCAGAGGGAGTTGCCAAAATGTCGGCTTGTGCCTATACCGTTCAGAAACATAATAACAAACATTACATAGGCCTAAGAATACTGAAAAAATAACAACAAAACACGTACAACATTAACAACTTTTATTAATATTTAAAAAAAAAAAAAAAAAAGTGCAAATGCAGCAGTCAGCCAAACAGAATGAAATAACACTGTCCGTGGGCTAGAGTCCACTTCCAAAAAAGGATCAATAAATAACAACGGCAGCAATGATAATGTGTGCTATACAGCGTATCCGACTGCAGCGGCTACTGTCCAATGGTTTATTTTTAGAACCTATCAACATAAATCAAATACATTAAAAGCACAGCTCTTCAGCATGTTTACTTTTTCCAACTGGAGCAGGGCACGTAGTGGATTGACAACTTTGGCCGCGGTGCTGAATATGTGCTCTGATGGAGAGCTCGTGGCACAAACGCACAGGTACTTTCAGGTAGCCCTCGACATCAGAGGAAAACGCCTGGCTCCATCACATTTCCACCTGAGAAGGAGGTCTTCATCTCCCTGAATAACAGGCTCACGGCAACAGGCAGTTATCTCTGCTCCTGCTCGCTCCTGTATGGTGCCAGTCTGTAGGCAAACCCCGGAGATCTTGCCTCCAGAAGAAGTGCGGAAGAGCCCTGGTTTCAGGTTGTAGGCAGTTTGTAGTCCGCGTGATAATGACCAATCATGTTTGAGCCGGTTGCAGTTGTTGCCAGGTTAAACGGTCGGTGCGGTGAACTAACGAGGTGGAACATAATTGGCGTCACTGCAAACTCTGAATCCATCACAATGGTTCAGCATATTTACTTATATATAAATGGAAGTCGGAAATTGTAATTCGCCTCCTCTGCCCAAATCAAACCGGAATGCCAAAAAATCGGGGGTCTGCCCCCAGAGGCTGTATTGTCGTCTGCCAGAAGTCAGATGCCGAATACAGCCGATGGGTTCAGAGAATGATAAAATATAGGCCTATATTAATGAATGTTCATTAGTACGGTTTTGTATTTCTCTGTAATGTAGCATAGTGTTACCAATGTTACTGATACTATTCTTTCTCACACCTTCAACTCAAACCATTGTGTTGCCCCGCCCAAAATAATTAATATAATAAAATAATAATTTAATAATTAAATTAATATCGTAACCATGCAGGAGACTACTCGACTAATGGCCCTAAATGATGACTATTGGTCGACAAGGAAAATTCTGAGTTGGGGGCAGCCCTATCATAGAGTTACACAACCAAATGTTCCCCTTTGTGCTTGCAGGACTGATTTTTTTTTTTTTTTTTGGTCCAGCAGATGTTGTGGTTGGACGCTGTGAGCAACATTGCTTTGGTCTCAATCAAAGTAAAAGCATAAATCATTTAGTTGGTTGGGGTTTTTGGGCTCAACCTGTCTGTAAAGCACACAGGAAACCCTGATGTGTTGAGACAAAACTTAACTGATTTTTTAATAATAGAAATATCTCTGCCATGCTAGAACAGATGGTGGAAAATTTATATGAATGCTGTGTGCCCTTTTCAGTCTAGATGTATTTTATATGTGTGCTCTTGCAGCAAAACCATGAGGCACTGATGTCCCTGTACCAGGACATGGAAAAAGGTACATATGTCCCCAATGCTGCCAGCAGCTCCTGGACAGATCGTAAGAAAGAGGAAAAGGAGCTCATCGACAGCCTGCTGGGCCACTTTTCCAAAAGCTCCCAGCCCTATTCCAGGACAAAGGCAAGATAAACTGCAGCTCACAGAATACAAGCATATTTATACTACAGTCATAAATTTATTTATTTATTTATTTTTACAGTTGCTTCACAGATCTAAAGAAAAAAGTAATCAGGATTCAAAACAGTTAAATAATTGCAGTTTATTAAGAGAAAGCCTTAGGATTAAAGTGGGTTTCGAGGAGGGATTTAAAATAGGACACAGACTTTGAGTGTCTGAGATGCTGAGAGGGATGACAGCATCGCCTCTGTCTGTTGCCCTGTTTGTCCAGAAGATGGAGCCATTTCGGTGGCTCAGTTCATGTGTTGGTGTTCATTCAGAGGCACACCCATTCTGTCTGACGAGCAGAACAATGACGACAGGGTGACTGTCAACAACAACTAGTGCACGAATACGTCATGTGGTGTGTCTGACTGCAGCCTTTCTTCTAACACCACAGGTTCGGCTGCATGGACCAAACAGTCCTTATAGGATAAAGTTCCACAGCTTGAGCCAGAAGACCTTCTACAAGTAAGCATTTACGTATACACGTACCCAGTTAAATGTGCCCGTTATAAATCCCCCAAGTTATTGCTTACAAGTGTGTCCTCCTGCAGGACGGTGTGTATAGAGAGGAGGAGCATCAACTCCTTGGCCCTGAATGAAAACCCTCACTACAAACATCAGAGGATGCTGGTGGCTGGGACTGTGTCAGTCAACTCCACAGGTACCAGATAAAGCTTCTCTTCTGCTCTCCAATACAAACTCATGAGCAGGAATTAACAGCTCAGAGCTCCACTAATCAATACTTTATATTAACAGTGGATAAAATGCCTATATGTAATGTGACAGGAGATGCTTGAACCAACAAACACACACTCTGTCAACCATCTCTGCCATCCCTCAGCTCTGCCACTTTTAATTTTGGCAGCTAATTTAGATTTAGTCTTTAGACAAAAAGGCTTATGAGCACGGTTCCCAAGGTAATGGAAAACCTGAACAAAAAAATGAAATTCCACAAGCTCATTTTCCAGGTCTGGAAAAGTCATGGAATGAGTAAAATCTTGGTAAGTTTTGAAAATAGTCATGTAATTTTGTTATGCGGAATAAAACTATTTGTTAAAGTAATCTTCTGTGATGAAACATTACATTCAATTTTTTTATGTAGCTGGTGAGATAACGTAGCTCTAATATGCGTAGATCCCAAAGTTTTTATATAGATGCCTCACTGATGCTTTTAATCTGTGCCCAATTTTCAAGATAGAGCAATTGACATGGGCAGCCTTGGGCACATTACTCAGAATGCCAATGTGCACTTAAATTTCATTTTATCTGCTGTGAAAGTGATGTCAAGTCGTTCGAAAGTTCCGAGCAATCTCTTTTTTCCCTGAACAAATTAACCAATGTGCTAACCAAACTTTTGGCTGTCACTACCCCATTCTTGAGCTGTACTGCTCCATGCCAGGGGAATCTTTACCGTTTTGTTTGTGTTGTACATTGTAAATGGTCATGGAAATTTTATCATTGGCCCTTGAGAAGCCTGTATTAGTTTTAGTTACATTTTAGGCTACATTCACATTACAAGCAAATTTTTTTTTCGCTGTCATGTTACACAAATCTGATTCTATGTACTGTGCACACAAACAAACAAACATTTTTTTCCCATCAGATCCAGGCTACTTCCATATATGGTCCTAAATCTGTTGTATATCTGATCACGGATCATTCATCTACTGTGAGAATGGTCATATTGAAATTCATGTGTTTTTCCCAGTACATCCATGGTTTTTTAACGTCATACTAAACTGCGCAGGAGCAGATTGCTCGCCATACAGTGTCAGAGTCGTCCATTGAAACTATAAAAGGCTGCTGTGGTAGGCTGCCCTATTCCCCAGCCTGACTGCCAGAAGCTTTCAGCTTGACAGCATGCCTACATGCCATGACCGTGTTGCCCTGAGGCGCCGACAGACATACTGGGATGTAGCCCCGGACATCCTAAAGTTTTGGAGAAGCTGTTTTTTGTGAAAACCTCCCCATCACAGCCCCACCACTCCTGACTCCTCCTCCACCCACTGTTTGTGTTTTTTCAGCAGAACTACCAGCGATAGAGTTATAGCTATGGCTTTTGTTTTCCTTCGTCTTTTCACCCTCATACCATTGTGACGATGAGTCATAAACTGGAAGCCTCAATAGTATGAAAAATAACAACCCAGTGTCCCAAAAACAAAGAAAGGTCCAATGATGTTGTTCTGCATAACAATTAGCCATGTCTTTTTGTTGGGAGAGTGCGGTCAGAGAAGAGGCCCTCCGGGACAGTGGGCAGTCGCCTCCTATGAGGAATTGTCATCTGACTGTCAGATATGGGTCACTTCAAACATGAACGTTCACAGTCTAGGCAGAAATATTGGATGGGGAAATAATCAGAATTGAGCATAACATCCAGTAATGTGAACATAGCCTAGTCATTTTTATGTTAGTCAACGACAACTTCAAACTTTTTAGGCCAGTTTTATTTGACAAAAAGTCTCTATATTTCAGTCAGCCTCATATTTAAACATTAGGACTTAACATTTAACCTTACAGTTAGCTAACTTACTGAGGCATAAATAGCAGGGTGGTGGACCCTCAAGTGTCTGTTCATGTTGATTAGATTCTTCCCACCTAAGTTGTAGCCAAAGGTTGTCTCTCTGTCTCCCGTTGCCACAGAGCATTGGGTTTACTGCCTGTCGAATTATAAAGTGTGTCCAGAGAGCTATTCTTTGGTTGTTTTTCATTAACTGGGATCTCAGACTGGGACATCATCACCTGTATGACTGGGATTCTGGGAATCTGTACATGTTTCTCAACCACTATATTTTGACAGATAGACTAGAAGCACAATTTGGGTGAAGATACTATGTCAGATAGCGCACCGCTAACATTTTAGTTTCGACTGGTAAAACAAAACATATATTTCGTCATAGTTTTTACTATCAAAGGCTTTCTTTTTTCTGGATCAAAGTCTCATCTTAGTCATGGAAGAAAAAGGTTGACGGACATTTTTCGTCATAGTTTTTGTTAACAAAATTAACACTGACCTATGCAGGTTTTTTGTCTCTCTTAGCTCCACTCTTATTCACCTCATTTACAGTAGCAGACAAATGTTTTCAGCACACACTAGACTACCAGAGACAAAACTGTTGCTCTGAGTCTGATACATTTGTCAAGCCAACTTTGTAAGGTTGTTATATGTTAGGGGTTGTATGTTTTCAACTTGTTCTTTCTTCTGCTAGTGTTTAAATCAATCATTGCAGGTTTAAATGTGTAGTTGTGTTGCAGGGACACGTATTCTACTGAGAGATACTTCCATCATGCCAGACATCCCTGGATTGCCAGCACTTGTAACCATGCTCTTCACCCCCATCATGGAGCTACGGTGAGTCAGAGACACAGACTTATCACTGCACACCTTAAAGGCAGCATAATACAAAAGCCTGTGTTGATATGTTTTCCTCCCATGTTTTGAAGCACTGATGAAGAGAGGACCTGCTACACTGGCGCCCTCTGTGGCCTGGGCTGGAACAGTCAAACACAGGAGGGCATCCTACCTGAGCGTGACATCGAACTCTCCTTCGATGTCAAATTTGATGTTGAAGACATCACTGAGGTAATGGCTGTCACCAGGGAGACAGCTGTGGTGTGACTGACTGTGGTGATGAAGTAGGCAGGAATACAGTTTGGTTTTTGGCAGATCCTTTGTCTCTCTGTAGCTGAAATGTTGGTGTTTGACGGGTGATTCATACTGTGTCACCTTAACTTTTTTCAGCCTTTTCACATCTTTCTCTGTGACAAAAAAGCACAGCCGGGTCCCAGCACTTTGTTTCCCTGAAGAACACTGGTAGTCCCTGAAATACATGGGAGTTAAAATGTGTTTATCCAAGTATTACTGAGATAGAGCAATATTTTATCAACTGCTTTGTTGAATTTTCTTCATGGAATCTAAATAAGATTTCTTTGTTTTTTATTCTTAGTGTCTCAACAGCTATTAATACTTATCTAAAATAAAACTGTAGTCTCATAGCAGTATGAAACCCAAGATCTTGTACCTTGTAATATTATCACTGGGATGCAAATGACGGACAGCACTCAGCCTTGTGTCTATCATATACTACTAATTTAATAGCAGTATTGTATAATGTAGCATAGAGCAGGGCAGTTAATCAGATTTTACCTCCCTCAATTTTCAAAACAAGATAAACAGGATAAAATGATTTTGTGCCACATGATGGGTCTACCAAAGTTGATCCCATTTTGTCTTTTATTTTGTAAATCAAATGCACCCCGTTCCCAGCGGGTGTGCTCAGCCCCTCCACCCAAACAGTGCTGCCAACTTGGTGACTTTCTTATTAAATTTAACAACTTTTCAGACCCGCTGAGCAACTTTATTTCTAAAAAGCCACCAGTGACTTATTCACACCATCAGGGTAAAGGCAAGAAATGTATTCACATACATTAAACTATATTTCATTCCCATCCATGCTGCGCAGAATAATTAGTCCTTGGCTCTTTGGATGAGTCTCTTCCCTTCTCTCCTTTTGCGTGGCAGCACTGCACAGGCACCGGCTGGCCCTGGAGCAGGTGCAGAGCGAGCAGCAGGGAGGTAGCTTCTAAGTGTCCTTCATGACTAAGCCTTTATTGAGAATCGTGTGTTACAGATCTTGCGCTCCCAGTTTTGACAGGCAAACGAGAAACGGCATTGTTAGGTCGGTTCCCAAACTTGCACAGTAACTCAAACTAACTACCTGATCGAGGAGCAGCGGAAAGACCAGAAACTTGTAGTGTTCTGTGGAGTAAAATGACTCTTTTTGTCAAAGGAGTCTGGTGGCTTTGATAAGAGTATTATGGTGTCAGTTTCTGCCACCCTACGCCAGTTGCCAGACTCCTTTGACAGAAACACTAATTTTGCCATTCAAATGCCTTGTTGAAGACTTTTCTGTTGAATTAAATTCACCATAGTTGTAAAATGCTTTCATTTCTGTCATTGAAGTACACTGAAGAACATTTCGCCCCACCCCCATTTCCTCCCCCCTTCCACATGTAGCATCCACATACTGCTATGTATATTATATATTTTTATATATTATTTGTATTAATAGATTTAAATTTTACTTCATGTTTATTTATTTATTGTTATTTATTTCATTGTTTTCAGTTCTATTGTATTGTTTCATCTTCAGATAAATGCCTTGCGAGTGGCTATAAACCGTCTGGTGTGTGAGGGGCCCTGTGGCACCATGCATCTGGGGCCCGACAGGATCGGCTCCTTGCAGGAGGACTGCCGGGACCGCCTCACAAGGTGACTTACATACACCCACGGAAATCAGTAATGAGTTTAAAGTTCAGTCGATGTTTGTGTGCAGTTACCGATATGTGTTTATATCTGTAATTCAGGCTCTTCACCAAGACACCGCCAAGGGAAGCTAACACTGAAGTGTACTACCAGAAACCTGGGAAATGGAATCAGGTATGGGACATGAAAGAGTTCCTATTTAAAACATTTTACATAATTAGCCATAGACTGTATAAAAGAAGTGGATGTAGTCAGTATGATGTCACCCATTGATTTGTGGACAACCATTTTGAAGCCTTGAATTTAGCATGTGGGTAAGCTAAGTAGCTTTTGTTACCTAAACTAGATTTCTGCCGAGAGTAACTTTGCTATATTTCAACCTTTTCCAGCATTAAGTAATTAGTGGCTTGCAAACCTATGCTTTCAATGTTGCTTCCCTGGCACTGCAGGTTGCAGTGGTAGCAACTTGTCGATCAGAAGGTAGCCACGCCCTGAAGCATACCCTGCTTTATTGTCTATTTTACTCATAATGGGACAATAATTTATAAATTTAACATCATGCTGTACTGGAGAAGACTTGTAATTAGCGATTGAGAACATAAATTTATTAGGAAAATGTTTACTGAGGTAATTAATCAACTGAGAAGTAGGGCCACACTCTCATATGGTTGTATACAATCAAACTTCTTTTTGAGACCAATGGAGTCGCCCCCTACTGGCCATTAGAAAGAATGCATGTTTAAGGTACTTGTGCATTGACTTCACTTTTCAGACCCTAGACCACATCCATTTCTTTTCTACAATCGATGTCTATAGCCCTGCCAGTGGCTGTTTTGTGAGCACATTTTAGCAACGTGTATTTTAAAGTTTTGGTTTATTGAATATGCAGGTGGATCCTGCTCTGAAGATGGATATTGTCGAGCCTCGCAAAGATAAGACCAGAGGCGTTCTCTTCCAGCTGCATCCTGTCACCCTCCTCAACAGCTAAAAAGTCACTGTCGTTCTTGCATTTGTGTTGAAATGAAACTGGTTCCAGTGATGTACTTGAGAAGGTGCCTGGATTTTCTTTAATTTATATTCAGAGGAGCATATTTTTTATGTTTACATGGGACTGGAGCTCCCAGCAGCACAGCAAAATCCTCAGTCCTTAATTTGTTGTTTGCAGTAATCACTGGAGTCGTTATTCCCTGTTTTAATAAGTGGCTGTTAATAAGTCAGGTAAAGTTCATTGATGAGAATCATCTTGTTTAGCTCTCTGTATAAGCACTTTAGCCGTGGGCTATTAAAAATACCTGTTGGCAACAGATGAGGCTCGTCAATCAGTCTTCATTCAAACATAGTTTCATTGTGACCCAAGAGTCAGGTTAAATATATCCCCACAGCGCACACACACACACACACACACACACACACATACACACACACACAAAACTCCTACTATGAGATGAGAGGTGTGTTTGTGCCAGAATTCACTGGCTTGTATTTATAGCTCATCATTCCCGGTCTTCCATCCAAAGTGTTAACACGTCAAACTTAGCTTTGGTGTCGCACACAGTCTCATCTTCACTCAACCTGAAGGCGCCTTATGAATATGAACTCGTCAGTAAAGTTGCTGAGGAGATGTTATACATCAAGGTACATTTATTTTTCTTATTCTTGTAATTAAATACATAGTGTAAGTGCAAATAGTTAGAGTCCAGGGTCTAAAGAACTACAGAGTATAGTTGAACATAGTACAAAGTTGGACAGTTATTCAAACAAGCTAAATATCACCAGATACTCCTTGTCTTCATAGTAGTTGTACAACAGTACCTAAAACATGAGCGTGTGTATTGTTCCTTATGGTTATACAAAAGCAAAAACTCTACAATTACCACATCTAAGACGCATATTGTTAAATTATGTTGTGCTTGGAAACACCAAAAGGAAATCATTTTTGCTATGTATATATATGGACATATACTGAGAGAAGCCCTGTCTGCTAACTCAGAAACATGAAGCAGTATTTAACACTGGCAGCAGAGCACGTCTGTGGGCATTTAGCTTTTTTGTGCCAAACCATACAGTTTGTGGTAAGCACTGCAAAGCAAAAATGTAGCGTGATTTCAAAAACTGCACAAAAGATATCAAATATTATTTACCCAAGGCTCGACTTCATGCACTTTAATAATAAGCAACACAAAAAAAGTCAGTTTCTTTTTTTGTTTTCGTAGGTTGTGTACTCTTCTACCTAGAAACAGGATTATGTACGTGTGACTGTGTGTGTTAGTGTTTAGACTGCTATAGACAGGGTGACGGTTTCTCCAGTGGATGCTTTTAGAGAACACCAAGATGACATAGCACTATGCCCCACAGATGACGACCAGGCTCTTCAACAGTGAGCGAGCTGCCTGACTCTGAGCTGGACTGGACTGTCAGCTTCACGGTGAGACAGACAGGTCTACTCCTCCTTCCTCTTGGCCCCAGGGATCTTCGCTTGGATCCTGTACAGAGAAAACAGGCTTCGATACCATGTGTCCAAAAAGGTATTTATTCTAGATTATATTATGCTTATTCAACTTTGTTTTAAACCTCCTGCTATTTTCTTAGTCTCTCTTTTTATGGCAGTCAACAGAACTGACCGTCAGGTTTTACTAAAATTGGCAAATTGATAGTGGCCAGTCCAAAAAAACTGCAGCTGGACATTTTGGCATCCATTAACCCTTTAAAAACCTATAAACTTCACTCTCTAATTTTCTGGGTTAACACAATTTAGGAATAAATACAAGTGTGTTTCAGTCAGTTAGACAGAGCAGCTGATCCACTTGATCCCAAGCAACATGTTGGCGTGTGCAGCCTTTTTTTTAATCTTAAAGTTCCAGTGTGTAAGATTTAGGGCAGCGCTGGAAAAAAGCGCTGTCTGTTTTGGATGGGAGAAGACCTCTGCAGATAATTCGTCTCCTGGTAAAATCTCCTGAGCAAAGAACACTGACAGAATTCTGACCGGAGAAGTTTCAGCTGATTGCGATCTGTAATCTCCACCACTACGTGTCACTAAATCATACACACTGTTCCTTCAAACAGACTTGATAGTCCAAACTGTTTATTCATAACGTGAATAAAGCTTGCAAATTGAAAGGTTTGCAGAGCACAAACGCTCTTTTCAGCAGCGCCCTGCTTACACACAAATACCTGGAAGCCCCTCAATACATCTACAGTGTCATCTGCTGGCTACTGAGCAGAGGAGTAAGGGTTAAGTGCCTTGCACAAGTGCACAATAGTAGCTCTAATAGAGGAACAGCAGGTGCTGTTCTTGTAATTGTTTGCCTTAGACTCCTCATTGTGTTTGTGTGGACTGAACTCATATGGCTAAATGCTAGCAGCTATATTTGTTCGTATATTGTAAATGAACTTTGAACAAAAACTCTGAATGTCAGACACTCACTTCCCCACCACAGAGTTGACCTGGGTCCGTATTAGTCCCACGTACTGATCAATCTGTGCCTGAAAACATAGGGAAAATGACGGGTGTCAATACTGGAAAATTATTGTATTCACTAAGGTTCACTTGAGTTTTTGTGAAGCTCAATTTCGTACCTGATGTTTCTCATAGACCACAGGCATGGTGAACATGGAGACCACAGCTGTAAAGGCATGGAGAGAGTGATGGTTAATGTATTCTGACCTACAGTGGGAATATGTTCAGACAGGAACACACGTGTATCAGCAGGCCCCTCAGCACACACCAACACTTATCTAAGGTAAACTGGAAAAGTAAACAGATACTGTACGTGCTCGACAGTGAAGCAAATATGTTAAAGAAGTGAATTAAGTTCTGGCATAATGATAAGGACACACTTTACTTCTCATTAATGACACGTTATAATGTAGTACGTGTATTCTGTTCGAGTCCTCTAAGATCATTGAATTTCTGACACTCAAAAAACAAAAAGACTGAACATGTGTGAGTCAACAGCAATGCTGAGTCAGGATGACCTCACCTAGGATGAGCAGTGTCAGGCCATTGAAGAGAGCGCCCACGTAGGTCAGCAGCCACATCAAAACAGCAAACTGAAACAGATACAGACATGTTTTAATCTCTATAACCTGCACGTTTGACCGTATATATACATTGTTTTGGTGTCTGCGTTCTTAGTTTTGTGACATGAGTCACAAAGCCCCGCTAGTGGCCCTGAGAGGCAGAGCTGATCTTACGCTGTACCTGAAGGTGGTGCAGTTTGAAGTAACTGACAGATAATGTCATCCCTTGCTAGCAATGCTAAAAGGCAAACAAGCGAGTTTGAGGCAAACCTTCAAGGAGTCAACCAGATCTTGTACAAGGAAGAGCCTGCGGAGCTCCTTCATACAGGTGTTGGTGTACAGCAGGATTTTGTCGGCATATTTGCTAATCTGGTCCTGGGATAGAGCGATTTCGATCTCCAGGTAGGCTCTGGTAACAAAGACAGGGTTGGAAACAGACCTTTTCAGTACCTTTCAGTGAAATCCATAAACCTTCAATGATCTTATATTTTACTTACTTGAAAGGATGTCCCTCATCGGTCTTCTGCACAGCCTGCAGGACAGACTTGTAGATCCTGAAGCTGATGGTGGCAGAGAGGGCTGCTAGGGCTAAGTAGGCTCCGACGCTGACCACGCTGAACTGGGTCAGGGAGAAGAGGAGCAGAAGCACGCTGCTGAACACGGCCCCCGACTGCTTCACATTCCTCCAGTAGAGCAGGTCAATTGCTGCGAGGGAAGGACAGAACAAGGACAAACAGGGTTAGGACCCACAAGCAGCATGACCTGACCTCTCACTCTGTGACAAGCAGGCCCGGGCATCCACGGACGTATCAGTTTCTATGTGGATTAGGCTGCAGCGGCGCGCTACACACCACACATTTGGGTCAAATATCTGGAAGCTGTTCACAACCCAACGTCCTCAGAGATCCCCAGCTGTCACGTGATCCTGTTTTAACCCAGCTTCCTAACCTAGCTTTTCATTAGGTTAGAGTGAGCTGAGGAGCTGCGAAGTGGCGCGAGTGACAATTTGTCAGTTCAGTTTCTTTACTCCTATATATAGAGCGACCTTTGAAGAAGATAATAGCTGACTCTGACTTGTCAACGAAGTGCCTCAGTCTGTGATGCCACGCTCAGGACTGGTGGGACTTCACGTTTACATCTGACGTGTACTTATCAGTTCCACCTGGTCTGGTCTCATACGTATACAAACATACATGCAAAACAGGCGGAGGGATCTGCATTACGCTGAAGTTACACCTGCACCTTCTGCTCCCAGAACAGAATTAATGATTGACCTGTAGCTTGTTGAAGGCAGCAGCAGCAGAAATAGAAGCGCTATCAGTAGCTCACAGATAACGGTTCAATGTGACCTGGCCAGACAAGCAGATCTGTGGTCAGTGAAGGATAACAGTGCTTCAGTGTGGCGTCTCATCAATGCAGTGAAACAGCATGATTTCCCCAAACTTATACAGGAACAAATATCACGCCTGCAAGCACCCTATGCGTCTTGCTGCACCATTTTCCTTTTATTCTAACATGTTCTTTGTCTCACTTCTTTGGGTGGTGGGGCCTGAAATCCAAAGCCACTGGCAAAGATGAGAGAGAGAAGTGATGAGGAGGATTAGCCCAGTGTACCATTATAGCCGACATGGTCCTCCTCTGGCAGTCGTCTGTGTCGGCTGGAAACACGGGCCTGTTTCCATGAGAACTGTCGGCTGCTTGTTTCACCTCCGCCACTGCGTGTCTAACAGTCTTACCAGGGGTTACCGCTCATCCGTTGGTACCAACACCTGGAAATCCGTCGTGTCACGTAGAGAGGCAAGCAGAACCAGTATGTTAATACAAACTTTGGTGCCCGCGAAGAAGAGAGAATCGCAGGTTAAGGTCTCTTGGGTGTCTTACTCTTCCTCTCTGAGCTGTCCGCCTGCCTGCCTGCTCTAATTTTAGCCGTGGAGCTGTGAGCAGCATAGTGATGACGGCCATCTTTACTCTCCACTAAAAGGCATCTGTGGATGCCAAAAAGGCAGGCTAACCCTGGATGGCAGAAGAACACAGATTGTGATTAAGTGAATCTCTGCTACTCACACACTAAGAGTCTACACTGTAAAATGACAAGTATAATCTGTCTTTTCCTGTCACTAACCAATAGTGACTTACAGTACCTATCCGTCCCCACCCACCCCCACGATCAAATCAAAGACACTACTCATTCAGAAACAGAACAGGATCCATGTGCCTTCACTGCTGTACATGCACCACTCCCCACAGAAGCCATTGTTGCTGCCACCACTGACAAACTGTCCATGTGGTTACTGATTTGCATGGAGATGCTCTCACACACACACAGACGGGCGCAGGTAGCACAGACAGCAGCTGTTACAGCACACAGACACATCAACAACAGACAGCTCTGCTCGAGACAGGTGTTGACCGGCAACAGCAACTGCGCCTTGTGATGTGCTGCACAGACTGCACGCAGACTGGAAAAAGCTTTAG